TGGTCACATACTCCTAGGTCATGTGTGATTTAATGTCAAATACCTCCTCAAACCATGCAATCTCAAACATTGATATAGCATGGATACAACATAAACTGTGTGCCAGGGTCACCTCTTTTTTGGCATGAGATGGGAGAGGTTGGATTTTTGGCTCTTTCCTTCCTGATGACATATTACATATCGGTTCACAGGTCCTATCTCGCTTTCCTTCAGTATAGCAGGCGTTTGTGACAACTGTTTGTATTTGGGTTCACAATTGTTGATCCCACTAGTGTTTGAACAGCCAAGTGAATTGGTCTGCGCTCGATGAGTCACTATCCTTCCAATGCACCTTCAACCTGAAGGCGACGTTGGTAGAGAACATTCCAAACTGTGTTTGCCCAAATGTGAACAATTTGTGTGATTATATATATATTATATATATATATTATAACAATGTGGGATGCATAGACTCGAGTCTAGACTCTGTTTACACCTCGTGTCTCTGCCCAGAAACTCGTGAGGACGGGGCCCGGACCAATGTATCACGGATGAGGTAGGAATTGCTCTCCTGCGGAGCAATCACGGACAACCGATCACCTATGTCACGGTCCCCACGCGGTTCCCACATGCACAATCATGGGACCTCCAAACAAGCGTCTGACAATGTCTGACATACACTCCGATTCACTAACATGGAAGTGGAACATGGTCCTTGAAAGACCACTTTCCTTTACGAACTGGACGTTTTCCACTATGTGGAGCGTATTGAATCATGGAAGGTTGATCTACAAGTGTCCAGGTGCCGGAATCGGGACGAAAGGGACATTCACAAGTGAAATGATTTGGATGGGTTCGAGAAGGCATACCGCGAAAACATTGCACATGAGACATATAAATATATATATATATCATATATTGTTTGAAGCTGATTGAGCACACCACCGCCCCATACTGCCATAGGCGTTTTTGCTTTGGGAATGCGGCCTGGCCCATTCTCGGTCTTCTACAGCCGGACAGTCCGGACAGAAAAGGCAAAACACCCCGCCAGACGCCGCCCCTTTCTGAATCAAATGTACAAATTCCATCCATTTCCCCCGTTTCGTGTGTCTTCAAACCACCTCCTGGCTGCTGCAACCATAGCGCTCATCCACCAAAAAGACCTGAGACTTTGCGACAAAGGGGCACCTCCGGCTGTTGGGGTGGTGGTTAGGCCCAGAGCAGCAGCAATCGTTTATAATGATCGGCATGGGCTCGGGTCAGTCAGTCTGAGCTGGTTCCCTCCGATCCCCATAAGTCCCCCAGGAGGCTTGGTATCATGATGTGAGTTGGAATGAAACTTCAACATTTACTTTTCGATCACATTGTCTTGACTCGCCTGAGAGGAATTGAAGGTCCTGATGCTACCGCGAATCCAAAGCAAATTCGCATACTGGTCCCAGTCGGGCGGATTCCTTGATGGGGTCTCTGAGGGAATCTGCAGCACCAAAATCACACATGGAGGTTCACATAGAAGTGGCAAAAGCCCTACCCACAGAGTGACTAAGGCGCACACAGTGAACCGGCGACCCGGCAGGGTACAGTATACCTTCCTTTTGCAAAAAGGAAACGGAATGGACAATGGGGATGATCTTCATGTCATCCCAAACGCCTGGTACAAGGTTGTCAGTGCTACAGTTGCTCTGGGCTCCACATCCACATCCAGTCCCTTCGATTGGTCGACACCTTCCATTGCACCACTTGATGGAAGAAATCCTGCAGCACCCCAGTCACCCCACAGCAGCTTTGGGCAACTTCCTGAAAAAAGGCACGCACTCACTTGGTGCATCATCGTGTGTTTCTGTCCCCTGTATATACTGATCGCTTCCACCCGAGGTAACCCCAAAACTGACATCAAATATCATGAGATATAATGATGATTCTCATGTCCCTGAGCTCTCTGTGGAAACCCACCTGTTGTCAGGCACGTTCCCTCGTTTTCAGCCGACGTCTCAGCCAGCGCAGTATGGGGAAGTCATGGGACCGTAGGAGTTTGAACAGGTGACACAGATCCAACACATCCGGGGCACGGCATCCAAACACTTCAGTCCGGTCCCACACTTCACCTCACGCCTTGGCACTTCGCCTCGAATTCGTCCGTCGCGGAACTTCTCGTCCGTCGCGGCGGCTTCGACGCCTGGGTCTCCACACGAAGACCCTCGACCAATCCACGCCCATGCGGCCCGCGAGGGTGGACCACACGTCTGCCTGCCTGCGGCCCAGCCCGAGGACGCTGCTTCTTGGGAACGACCCGGGACGTCGTTTGGGAGGCCGGAGCTCAGTGAAGAACGGTTGACTTGAGTCTGGGGTAGCCATACAACACCAGACATATTTATATAGTTAGTGAATTTCTTAGTGCTCATGTTCGACCCAGATTAACTGAACATCAGAATCCTATTGCGAGTTCAATAGTTCGCAGTGAGCGGTCAACTTCACGGCCCACACGAGCATGCCAATGATTGGTCCATTTGGAGTTTCCCATCCCCAGTTGTGGATTCTGGCCGACCAAAGGTCGCAGAACAGGCGAGGAGCGACCCCCCACACATCAACACACATCCAAAAGAAATGCATACCTGGTTTGGAACTTTGACATGTCCAATGTGGATACTTAGATTAATACCTGGTTTGGAATTTGGAACTGTCACCGACATCAACCAGGTATTCCCAGGTATTCAATCAGGTTTGGTGCCATGCACAACGACGTGGCATGGAATACAAAGCCCAATCAGAAACCAAAAAAACATAAAACGGTCTTTGATTGTAAAATGATGTGAAATGAAATGGTCAAAAGTTGATTCCCCTCAAAACCTGTTGATAATATTGTTGTGCTTTCTACTCTGATTGCTGCTCAAATGGTTCGAACTTGTCCATTCCGTTTATTTACAATTTTCCCCTCTCCAGTCTCCGAAGACCTGCCTTGTTTGATCCAAATGGCCCATCCACCAGGTCTCCAAGTGATCATTGAACAAGCTGTTCCGCCCACCCAGCATGTGTCGAAACATGTTCATCGTAAAGGCGACAATCATAAGGTCCGGGATCTAAAATCATGAGGGTTCATTTTGGGCGGATTGCATCATAGTATGCTGGGGTAGGGCATAATCGGTGCCAAGTTGGTGGGAGCTCCACACTGTGCCGCTGCACTGCGCCACTGGCTCAGCGGAGAGCACTTACAGGTTGCTGCACCCACAAGAGTCAACCCTATCAAGCATGAGTGGTCATGAGTGATATGTGTGTTTTTCTTTTTCGCATGAGTGGTGCAGTATCCTGGGAACGTGAGGCTAAAGCAATCTTCCAAACTCCAAACATTCCAACTCCATTTCTGAGCAACCTGCGTATACTCCCACCCACAAAGAGCCCTGGGCCCTAGTGCTTCTTGGATGAGATCACCTAAGTAGGGTAGTCCATGGCCTAGTTTATTATTGGAGACCAAATGGATTCTGGTTGTTTCTTCATCCTTTTTCCATCTTCCATGGCTTGCTCCACTCAACTTTCGCCCCACCTGGCACGGCGCATCCGGCCATTGGAGGCGGAAAGCCCCAGCACAAAGTTGGAGGCCTCGGCGAACGCTTCTGCCGACGCGAACGGTTTCGAAGGAAGGGAAGGTCGGTCGCCACTGACGTTGCGCTCCTGCAGGACGAGCGAGTCTTCTTTCTGAGATAGATGAAGCAAACAAAATGGGTCTTCATGGGTTATGTTTATGTATTTTGTGTGATTGTGTGTGATTCTTTATTGTTCTACTGCAATGTCAAGTCAGGATGCATACACCCCTCCTGGTTAGTCCGAGCCCACAAAGCCTGGGAAATTGCACAGATTAAAAGGATTAGGTGGCTAACTTCCCCCTGAATCAGTCAGTTGGGCACTAGAACCTACCTACCTACCTACCTGCCTACCTCCCTCCCTCCCTACCTACCTACTTATGACTTATGAAATTCCAGAAAATATCTGGGGTTAAGGGATGTTCTGCAGGAAACACAATATAGCAATCATTTGAGAAGAGACATAAAGACAAGGCCAAAAGCACCCCTGGACCAGAAGTGGAAGAAATAAGGACAAACATCCCCTCGAAGGAAGCGTTGTTGTTGCTGCTGCTGTTTCCGTTGCCGTTGTCGTGTGCTCCCTTTTGGGAAGCCTTGGGGGCTGGGGGGGTGCTTGGGAGGTGGTCATGGTTAGAGTTAGAGCAGGTTCCAACTGTATGGGTATTCAGGTCATCATCCATCAGCTCCTCACAGCGCTGCCGACTTGGCAGAAAATGCCACAAGGTGTGGGTACACCTTCGTTCCGAACACCCAAACACCCATGGTCTTCATCTCAGCCACCTGACTCATATTCATCATCTTCTGCTTGCCCACCCTTACCTACCCTCAGGATTCCTCAGGCTCCAAACACTGCGTCCCTGGTGCTTGGCAATGCATTCCTCGCATGGGGACCAAACAGGTGGCCAAGCAACGAGCCACCAAAACACCCCAAAGTGAAACAACAAGGACTCACCCAGTTCCAAGCTGCCATAACTTGGACTGACTCAGAAAGCTATGCTATACTATACATACCATGCAAACTCTGGACCCAGTATAACAGGCTTCTCCATGCAGAATTGGCCTCACCTTAAGTTGCTATCCTACCGCTAAGCAAATCCTAGCCAGCCAAGTTGACATGGTGGGTCGCGTGAATTCCTGACGAACCCACCGGACCATCAGAAATGCTGGTTCCCAATTTATCTAGAATCTAGAACATTCTAGAACCTAGCTAAGTCTAAACTTGAGCCCTGGATGGCCCTCAAGTCCTTCAATTGTTCCAATGTCCATATCCATCCCTCTGACTCCACCAACCACCATCGTCCCCCCGTCCAAAACACCAACCTTTCCAGTCACCCCGCTCGTCCCTTCCGTTCCTTGCACCCGTCGACGTCGCCCGGACCTCGATGTAGTCGACGGACTTGTCCACAAAGTCCCGCTCCGAAGAGGCCACAATCCGCTCGATGCCCATGGATGAGTCGGATTGGAGGTGAAGCCAAACAGGAAACGGAGGTTTTGGTCGGCACAGAGAAAAAGGCAAAAGATCAACGGTGTGGAAGAAGGGTGGTTTCGGATCATGTGGTTTGTTGATGTTTGTTGTCGATTGCCATGTTTTTTTTGTCGGTCACCACCTAGTTTTGCAAGCATTTGCATGTCTGTGCGCTCTTTGGGGGATGATGAAAACACATTGGTTGGGGTCACTGGCAGGACCCAGCTTGCATGTCTGGAGACCTCCGAATTATAGTGGATTGAGAGGACCAATGGCCGATGGCACAGACCCCAATGTCGGTGGTTTATATGGACCCCCATCTGTCTAGGACATCATAGAGGAAACGTGCCATCGAACCTCCGAAACCACTGTAAAAACACCCACCTGGACCAGATCAGTCAGGGAAGTGTAGTTTGTCGAAGACTTGTCGTATAGCGTCCTCCAACAACATGTGTCCCTGAAAACCAAGCGGCTGTCGGTCGATGAGGAATTCCATCCGCATACATATATATATATATATAGATAGGAACCAACTTCCTTCATATGCTACAAAAACTGACACAGGCTCCTTTTTGAGAAGGGAACGGAACCAAAACAAATCAAATCAATGTCTTGAACATGCAAATACCAGATAATCGTTATGCTACATACAAAAGCATAGCAGCGATTCTGGTCCCAAACGAAAGACCTTGGGAAAACACAACCTGGTTGAAGGGCAGAATTTTGATGCAAGCTGGTACTTCCAAGGCTTAGGGTGCTCTTAACGCAGGTCGCAGCCAACTTCTCATGAAATACGTTTCTGAGGACATGAGTCTGCAGAGGGAGACCACCCAGATGATGTTGGTCAACTTTTCTTTCTACCAAGGGGTCAAACCGAATCCCTATTATGTATAGACATAGGGTTAATAACCTCCCCCGATTGTATAATTTGGTCCACCTTGAGGCACGCCTTTCAAGAAACTTCTGGCCAAAAATTGTGAAAATTTGACACTAACCCTGCCAATTAGTTTGGTCAACCTTTTGGTGCACATGTTCTTCCCATATTAACTGCCTTCCACCACCCCTTCCACCAATCTCTCGTTCTATGGTACCTCAAACCTTGTTGACCTTCCATGTGGGGGGCTCATAACTCCAATATTTAACAAAACTCCAATAACTCAAAACTCCAACCACTGCACTCCTAATAGTCCTTTTGCTCCTGCTGCCTCATGGCTGGCTCATACCTCATGGTTGACCCATCTCTTCATAAGAATCTCATTGCTTTTGATCTGGCCACAAATTACCCCCGCAAATCACCCAGAATCCCAAACGGCTCCCCCAGTAATTAATCAATGTTTGTGAATTGCCTAATCAATCAATTGATCAATTCCCCCAAAAAAGTCTTTGGGGATCCCTCCTCATGAAGAGATTTGGTCTTTGGGGCCTCTCCGCTCCTCATGAAGATACTTATCACGCTTATCAGATTTAGTCACTAGTCTTGGTGACCTCTCCTGATTGACTCCCCCAAATAGCAAACCTTGTGGGGGGGTTCTTATTCCAGTCTACACATGACACAGTCACATGTTTCCTTTGATCTCCACACACATGATGCTGAGAACCTCGCTGTCGAAGACCTCTTGTTTCCGATCGACTCCAGGTGAGGACATTCGAGACCAATCGGATCCGTCTGGCTCGTGTCGGAAAAGACGGGACCTCTGACACAGATGAACCCGCAAAGGAGAAGGACCACATGCTCCGAACATGTCTGCATGGGTAGGTTGATGTTTTTGAACAAAGCTTTTAGCACTCCGTAGAACACCGGCCAAGTGTGCATTCTAAAATTAAAGAATCTGGATTCGACCTTTATCTGGATTCGACCTTTATATAAAACGTGATCAGAAGCCTACAGGCAGTACTAGTTGTTAATCTCCATCCAACCCAAATCCAGCCCCGCCCATCTCACCACATCAAACACCGCTCCGCCTCGTCCTGGTCGTTTTCGGGTGTCGGGGGTCGGAACAGCCCTGTTCAGAACGGGCGACCTCCAAAAACCAAGGCCGGTCGCCGGCACCGGTCGCTCGTGCGAGGGGAGACTTCGGTCAGTCTCACGCGCTCGGTGGTAGCGCTCGGTTGAGGTGGTAGCGTCTCACCCATTCGAGTGTTCAGCATCCACAAATGCTGAACAAAACAGATCCCCTTTTTTCCAGACGTACACTGCCCGAAATTGGATGCAAACAATCAATTCATTTTACTGTATAATATACGTATTATAATACGAGTTTGGCTGTGGCCGTAAGGTTTTTTTCTTCTTGAAGCTTATAATGTGGATGTGGCACTTCTGCGCTTGTATGAATTTCCTGCAACTGCTGCATACCCGTTTCAACGAATATAAGAGGGTCAAAAAAGACAAGAGTTCTTGGATTGACAATATCGCTCTCAGAGTCTAGTAGTCACAATAAATATATCTAACATACGGAAACTGCCCACCCTGAACTTGTGGGAGTGTGGTGTTCTACACTGCATGTCCACTAGGTTGCCTAAGACTTCTATTCATTCTATTAAACAAAAAAAACAAACCCATGCTGCCAGCACCTGAAACTGAAAACATCACGTTTTATAAGTCGTTCAGATGCCCAAGAACCAGAAGATCTTGGTATAACAAATGGTTACACAGTGTTTGCCCAGCAATGAAAGCAATGAAAGCAAACAAGTAACAAATAACAACTACACAACCACACCAAGCAGTAGCAAATCTGATCTCCAAACCAAAGAGCCCCCTCCAATGGGCCGACCGTGCCGGTTTGTGAGGCGACGGCCGGGACAGTGACGGGTCGGAACCCCTTTATGGGGTGCATCGTCGGAGACAGCCGAGGAGAAACCATATAAGTGAGGTTGGAAGAAGCACAACAAGTGTATATGTTGGATCTATCCTATTACCTGTAACAGTGGATGATGATGGTTAGTAAAGGCCTTGTTCAAAAATGATTACAATTGTTTACTGACTGTTACAGGTAATAGGACAAACCGAATGTATATGACATAAATAATATGATAACCCATCATCTCAAGATCATCAGGGATATGGAGTTCAGTTTTTACTTTTCACTCCAGCAAACACATCACATGGAAGAGTGTGGATGGATTCTCCCCTGTTCGTATAGAGGAAAGTCATCTTCCAAGGGGCCAAGTCTCACTTCCATTGGTTCCGTGTTCATCTGTTTTTCACATCTACCAGCAGCCACCAAGAGACGGCCGGTCTGTAACTCCGTCGAGTTTCCATGGCTTCGGGAGACTACAAGTTAAGCGTCTTTTTGTTGGTAGAGTCCGGTGCGCTTTGGAAAGACACAAACACACCAAGATCATATGTCTGTGGATCGCACCCGGATACCTGGCTGGTTCACCTTGCTGGTTGACCAGACCGACCCACTGGAAGGTCGGTCGCGGTTCTGGTGGACCAGTGACTCATGGCATGTGGTGCGACCGGACCCTACGGGGCGACCGGACCCTACGGGGTTTCCGGGGTCCGCAACTGAAGTCGACTGCCCTTTGATGCGTATTTGCCTATTGGCAATCATTGGGGCTTGGCATCTTCCATGTGTCTGGGTGGATTCAAGCATACAAGGACATCCACCGCTGCCCGCGGTCAGTCGTGGTGTTCCTCCTACACCTTTCATGAAAAAACACTTCTCGACCTGATGGCGTTCTTCCAGGTGATCATCTCAGGCATGGCTTTTTTTGGTCAGAACCCTGGTGGGTTGTCGCATGACCTGGAGGACTATACATACCAATACCAGATCTACAAGCTTCGCTTAGAAAACTAGAGAGTGCTTGAGGTGGGTGCCTGCAAGAGCCCTCCTCAAGCACTCTCTAGCTTTTTGGGGGAAGCTTGTAGACCTTGTAATTAAAGATTCTAGATTCTAGATGATTCTAGCCATTCTTAGAACAAAGCTTGTTGCAGCAGGTGATGAATTTGAGATGGTAACATATGGTAACCATGACTGGTCTGACTGTCGAGGGAGGACAGGTTTCTACCTGGGTGGCATCCATGAAGTTGTGGCTTCCACGTCACATCCGTTTCTCCTTCGGCTGGCTCGCAACTCAGGCGACCACTGGCACACCATTTCCACGCAGAAAAACACGCGGATTCGCACCGCCGAGTTGGGCGCACCGGAGATGTCACGCGGATTCGCAAGTCACGAATGTATCGTACCAAAACAACTTAGGTCCTCTAAGACTCTAAGTCTATGGCCATATGATTTGAAGATGTTTGAAGGGTGGATCCACGATGACATAGAAGAACCGTTTTGATCCCTTTTGCTCGTTTCCGTGAAAAATCATCACAAGATCCAATTTCCCACAAAAAAAGACCGTAGGAGACTGTTTCACAGTCCAGGATCGCAAAACGGATCACGGATCGTGGACAACCGACAACCAGGATCTGCTTCTTCCAACTCAAGATGTTTCCCAACTATGTCACGACCCATCTCCATAAGGCCAAAACCAAACACAAAACATAGAAAACACAAACACACACACACATAGCTGGAGGGATCTGTTCCTAAGACTGTACGGTCGTAACTGGGACGTTCCACGTTCCAATTTCCGCCGAGGGTTTTGCATGAAGTCACTGAAGCACCGCCCTACACTCCGCCACATGCTTGATACTCATGATACTCTATAATTGAAGTAGGGAGCCTTCCCAGTTCGACACCATGGAAGGAAATTAGACGAACAAACCCATTGAGCCCGGGGGTCTCTATATAAAACACACACACACACACATTCACAGCTCGTGGAAGATTCGGGAGGCTTCAAACTGACCCCTCCAAACCCTTGAAGACGTCTGACTGCCTCTCCAACATTCTCCAACTCCGTCCATCATAGCATGTCATGCTATACTGTCCAAAAAGCAGGCTATCAACAGGCTAAGCATGGCTTGAAGAAATTAATTGATCATCTGCCCAGCTTGGCGTGCAAAAATCAAGACAGGCTGCCTAACGCGAAGTCGGAAAGCTCCTGATTGAGACAACGCTTCCTATCTTAGTCTTACT